CCACCATCTTCAACTTCTTCAACGACGTCGCCTCCGCCTCGCCCCTCCCCGTCCTGCTCTACAACTTCCCCGCCGTCACGGGCGGCATCGACCTCGACTCAGACCTCATCGCCGACCTCGCCGCCGCCAACCCCAACATCGTCGGCTGCAAGCTCACCTGCGGCAACATGGGCAAGCTGCAGCGCGTCGCCCACGACCCGCGCATCGGCCGCCCCTTTGCCGCCTTTGCGGGCAAGACGGACTTTTTTCTGCACGGCCTCGTCGGCGGCTCCCACGGCGTGATTGCCGCCACGGCCAACCTGCTGCCCAAGGCGCACGCGCACATGCTGCGGCTGTACGACGAGGGCCGGCTCAAGGAGGCGCAGGAGCTGCAGACGCGCTTCAGCAGGGCCGACTGGGCGCTGGTGCAGCTGGGCATCGCGGGCATCAAGGCGGCGCTGCAAAAGTACTACGGGTACGGCGGCGGGAGGAGCAGGCGGCCGTTGTCGAGCGCCGTCGATGCGAAGAAGCTGGATGGCGAGGTGGATGCGGCGGTGGGGGGGTTGGTTGAGCTTGAGAATTCTCTGTGATGGACGTCTCAGTGGTTATATAGCGGTCTCTAGATGTGATAGAATAGATGAGTAGTACCTAAATACAAGTGTTGGAATGACAAGAGTCTTTATCCACCCGCCGTCTCTATCCTCGTATATACACCACCACCTCTATTCAGATATCTACATCGCTCCATGTCCACATCCTCATCATCCATCACTAAATACCCGTCGCCTTTATTTCCAGCCTGGGTCCATAGTTAGCATCCCCCAAGACGCCACGTCCAGCCACCTACTTACTGGATCTACTACTACCTAGTATTCCTGCTCCCCACTTTCTTTGTCTCCCCCCACCTTGGACCCCGTCTTGCTGCTTCTCTAGTATGGCGGGGTAAATATTAAGAGATTCAGGTCGAAAATAGGGGACAAGGGGGGAGCTTTCTTCAGGTCGGTCGGTGATGGAGCTCGTGATGTGACCAGTTGCATCACCGGGCGTCGGGCATCGCGTCCATCTCGTTTCTGCTTTCCTTTACCCTTTTATCCCTTTTCCCTCTTCATCCTCTTCTTCTTCTACTTCTATTCATTCTCCTCTCCTTCAATCACACCAATCACCCTCAACAACCCATCACCGCCACAATGTCCTCCTCCCAAGAAGACCGCCTCCTCCTCCCCGTCATCGACGCCCACATCCACATCTACCCCGAATCCGAAGTCCCCAACCTCGCCTGGTGCACCCCCGACCACCCGCTGTCGGGCCAATTCTCCCTCGACCAGTTCAAGCGCGCCGCCCGCTCCGCCCCGTCCCTCCTCGGCTTCGTCTTCGTCGAGACAGACCGCAAGCACGACCTCGACGCCATCGTCTCCGGCACCGACGACGCCGCCCGCGAGGCCGGCTGGGACGGGCCCCTCCGCGAGGTCCGCTGGCTCAAGCGCGTCGCCCTCGGCGAGCCCCTCCCCGGCGAGGGCCACAGCCCCGAGGACAAGGCCCTCTGCCTCGCCATCGTGCCCTGGGCGCCGCTGCCCGCCGGCGCCGACGTCCTCGACAAGTACCTCGCGCGTGTGCGGGAGGAGGCCGGCGAGGCTTGGCCCAAGATCAAGGGGTTTAGGTACCTCCTGCAGGACAAGCCGCACGGCACCATGCTCGAGGACAAGTTCATCGAGGGACTCAAGTACCTGGGCAAGCGCGGCTTCTCCTTCGAGGTCGGCATCGACCAGCACCGCCGCGGCCGCAAGCAGCTCGAGGAGACGGTCGAGATGATTGGCCGCGCGCACGAGGGCGTCCCCGACGACGAGAAGGTCGTCTTTATCATCAGTCAGTTCTTCCCTTCCTCCCAGACCACATCTACAACATCTAACTCAGTTATCTAACCACTGATAATGTATTATACGCAGACCACCTCTGCAAGCCAGACCTCACCATCTACAACGTCTCCTCCGACCCCTCCTTCACCGCCTGGCGCACCGCCATCTTCTCCCTCGGCAAGTGCGCCCGCACCTACATGAAGCTCTCCGGCGCCTTCGCCGAGATGACGCCCGCCCTGCGCGCCCAGACGGCGGACCCCTCCCACGTCTTCCAGTCCCTGCTGCCCTGGCTCGGCGTCGTCCTCGCCACCTTTGGGCCCGGACGCCTCATGTTTGCCAGCGACTGGCCCGTCTGCGCTGCCGCGCTCGTCGACGACGAAAACAACAACAACATCGGCTCTGATAAGGAGAAGAAGAGGCTTGCTCTCGTGGATGAAAACGAGGCGTGGCCCAGGTGGAAGGAGGTTGTGGAGAAGATGTGCTGGATGGCGACGCTGAGCGATGATGATCGCGCCATGATCTTTGGGGGGACGGCCAAGGAGGCGTATAGGCTGTGATGAGAGGGGGCGAGGGGAATGAACTTGGAAGCTGTTTCAACCTCATTTGAGTTGCGTGCGGTTGTTCTGATATACTAATGAAACGTGATGACTCTTTTCTATTTCATCAAAGTGCTTAATAAAGAGGCCCGTTTATACAAACCTTAAGGGGGGGCCTGTTGAACCGTTCCTCAGCATCATTCACCACATCACACACACAGCAGGCAAAGAGAAACAGCGGTTATTCAAAAGAGATAAAAGTCTCATTAGCATAAATCATCATCATCTAAAGTTAATAAGAATTCGTCCCTAAAACAAGGAACAAACAAGACCAGAATGAAGGAATGTCAAGAATGAATGAAAGAAAAAAAAAGAAGCCCCTCATCAGTTGTTCTTTCGAAAACCACTCAAACCGCTTTTCGTTACTCCCACACACAAACACACACTGATTCTCACAACAGGATATCAATCACCAAAGCCCCGTACTGACATTTGCAAGCAAAGTCCAGCCGCAAGTTCTTCTTCTCTCAGCATGAGAAAAAGAAGGGGCAAAGGAAAGGGGAAAGGGTAAAATCGCAAGGCAACGCTTTCATACAATATTCCTCCCATCCGTTTCCCAATTCAAATCAAACCCAAATCAGAAACATAGGGAAAGGAGGAAAGGAGGAATGGCCGGTGGGCGGGCTTGTGAGTTGTTGTAGAAAACAAAACTCGGTTGGTCCAAAAGAGCGACAAATTGCCAGAAAAAGAAAAAGCACGGAAAAGCACAAAGAAAGACACAAGAGCCTCCCTTTTTTTGTCACGTCTTTCCCTTCATCACTATGCCAGGGTCGTTAATGTGTCGTTGTCGTGTGTTCGTCCGTCTCATTCAGCCACTGTGGCTCAATCTCAGTCCTCCATTGTGAATTCTCATCGCCCATAGCTCCCCATCTTTTCAATCGAATTCAGGATGCCGCTGCCCCTGGCACCACCCGGTCGAGGCAAGCCGCCTCCGATGCTGCTCTTCCCCCTCTCGTGAGGCGCCCTCATGACCGTTCCTGGGGCCCGGATGCCGGAGATGCGGTTCGCCGGGTTGGGTCTCGCCGTCTTGGACACCGAGTCTGCTCGCTCCAGCGTCGGCTTCTTGGCCACGGAGTTGACCGAGTTCCTCCGCTCCGCCGCCGCCGGCTGCTGGCGCTGCGGAGCTGGTTGCTGGGGGGCAGCTTGAGGCGCGGGCTGCGGCGCTGCGGGCTGTGGGGGTGTCGCAGCCGCGACATTCTGCATGGCCATCAGCTCCTCCGCCAGCTGCACCAGCTCGCCCTTCTCGACTCTCTCTTGCTGCAGGCTGACGCGCAGCTCGTCGTTGTCACGGCGCACCGTCGTAATGACGGCCTCAAGCCGCTGAATGTCGGCCTCGAGCTCCCTGATGGTCGCGTGGTCGCGGGCCGATTGGGCCTTCCACTGCTCCATGTCGGCGTGGTCGACCATGGTCATGGTGGAGCCGTGGCCTGCGTGCAGCCTCTCGTTCTCCATTGTCAGGTTCTGAATCTTGGCCTCGAGCTCCCAGACCTTCTTCTCCCACCGGTTCTCATACGACTTCTTGAGCGCCGCCACCTTGGTCTCGTGCTTGCTCTTGTAGAGGCTGTGCAGCTCTCGCGCCACTCGCTCGACGGCAATTTCCACCTCTCTCGCGCTGTTGTTGGCCTTGTCTGGCGACGAATTCCTCTCCAGGTCCTTGCCGGCGCGCAGGCCGGCCAGCTTGCTCTCGGCCTCTTGGTGCATCATCTCCGAGGCTTCTCTCCGCTGCTCGCTCTCCTGCAGCTCGTGCTCTAGATCCTCCTTCTCCCTCTGCGTCTCGATAATCTCTTCTCGCACAATGCGGAGGGCACCCTCCATCTCTTCCCTCAGCATCCGCTCCTCGCGCAGCCTCTCCATGGACTCGCCCACGCGCTTCTCGGCATCGACCACGGCGGTCTTGAGCGAGTGCACCTCGGCCTCCTTGCCGCTCAGCGACGCCTTGAGCGAGGAGATCTCGGACAAGAAGTTGGATTTGAGCGTCTCCAGCTCCCGCGGTGTGATGGAGGGGATGCTCCTCGGCGTCGCCATGGGCGTGCCGTCAAAGTCGCGATTGGGCGTGCCCGTCATGGGCAGGTTGGGCGTGGTGCGCGAGGGCGACAGGATGTCGCGCCTAGCGGGGGAAGAGCGCTGCGAGCGTCCGAGGCGTTCGTTATAGTCCATGAGCAGGCTGGAGGTAGAGGCGGAGTCGTCGTCCATGGTGTGATGGGCTCGCTTTGCGTCGCGGCGTCCGTCGGGCGTCCGGCCCAGCCTTGCTAGCATGGCCGCATTAGGCACGGCCGAAAAGGCGCTGAAGGCGCTGACGTCCATCGTGTCATCGTCGCCGCCGTGGTGTCGCTGGGAGTCGTCCATGCCGCCCAGCGTGGCGTCGCCGCCGTCCTCGTCCTCCTCGCGGATGCTGCCGCTCCTCTGGCCGTCCTCGTAGATGCCCAAGGCCCGCTTCATCCCGTCGCTGTCGTGTCGGTCGCGGGTGTGCACCACCTCGTCGATGCTGGAAGACTGCTGCTGCTGCTCGTGCGCCGTTGGTGATGCCCGCGATGCCACGTCGCCGCCGAGATTGATCTTAACAGGGAAGCGTCGGTCAGGCGACACCTTGCGCGGGCTGCGCACGCCTCCACTCGCGGCCTTGAGCAGCGCGCCGTCCAATGAGCTCCTCTGGCTCTCCACAATGCGCAGCGGCGACAGCTCCGTGCCTGACATAATGCGGCTGTGGCGCGATTTGGCGGGCGAGATGTTTTCCTGGTTAGAGCGTGCGTCGTCGGTCCTGATGCGCAGCGGCCGTGCCGTGGACGGCTCTGGCTGCGAGGCGTCCGTCTTGGACGTGCTGCTGCTCATGGCATCGTAGAAGTCGTCGTCCGACTTCCTGCTGCTGGCGGTGGACGAGGCCGACGTCGTTGAGTTGAGCATTGCATCGGCGGCCGGCTCAAGCGGAGACGTCATCCTACGCAAGGGAGAAGAAAGCGGTCGCTTATTGTGTTGTGCCCTTGTGTTGTCGTCGCCGTTTCGCCCTCCTTGACGGGTTTGCGTTATCTCTGTGCGCGCTGTTTGCGAGCGTCTCCCCGGTGCGATGCGGTCTTTTCAGGGTGTTGGTGATGAGTTTAGTGAGTGCGAGGAGGTGAGGATGGAAACTTTTGGTGTCACTCGCCTGCAGCGGTTCAGTTTAGTAGCTGCACTCACTGGCTGGTTGACTGACTGGCATCCATCGGATTCGTACCTGCTTCTACCGGTACAGGCCCAGGTCCCAGTTGCAGGGCCCTGGCCGGCCTTAATAAAAGGCCCCGCGAACTGAGGGCTTATGCTCGCTGCGGTTGTTTATGCGCTGCATTTGTTGACCCGGTAACTTTGCGCGCTAGGCTGCGTCGGGGCTAGCGCTGCGCTGATGTTCACGTGAGGGACATTGCAGCGGTTTCACAGTGGACAGAGGGCCCTAGAAAGGGGGCTGTACCTTGCCGCGTTTGCTTGTACCCTGTGCGGAACAGCAACAGGTGACAGGAACAGGAATGGAACAGGAACAGACATAAGCCTCTGCGCTCAGTGGCTGCGCTGGTCGTCTTTACTTGGCCGCCACACACTTGGAGACAGACACTGGACCTCACGACAGCTTCACCTCGACTCGATTCATTTCAAACAGACAATCTTCATTCGCAAAATCATTCTATCCACGTATACTCAAATGGCTTTTATTGTCGTTTTCATAAAGTCGTTACCTAACAACGCAACCCGTCCAATGCACCGTCTGTGTGCTTTTATGGCTAAGAACCAGAGAAGAGAAAAGCAAGGGTAGGTCATAAGGTCATTATCAGGACTTGCCCCGACGTCTTCTCTCATTTCCAAAAAGCAAAACCCGCACGTCTTCGCAGAGAAAACAAGAAAATGCAAAAACAAAAAAAGTCCTCAAAAGCTAAGCAGCAAGAGAGAGAGAGAAGAAGAAAGGAAGAGGGAAAAAAAGAGGAAGAAATAGCAGAGGCCAGAGACCAAGGGAGAAAATGATGCCTTCCTCCCACCAGTACCTCGCACGACCGCATCTCGCCTGAGATCATTACAGGAATCCTCTATCTTTTCTCCGCCCGTAACACTCCGCCTCTCCAAGAGCCGCGGAAAGGATAATGAGAGGGAACGGAAGTCGACAACCGGTGTGTCGCCCTTTTTGTGCAATTAAATTCCTCCATGCAGAAAAAAAGCCGTCACTCATCAGCCATGTACATCCGTGACAGGGCATCGTAAGTAACATAGAATCGATGGCTCGTCGTGAATTCATCATCGCGTCTGTGGCCTGTTTGCGCAAGCCCATGAATCGTCTGCGGGTGCATGGCAACCAAGAGAAAAGGGAAAGAAAAAGAAAACCAAGATACACGGCAAGGAATGTCGTTACACCGTTGGAAAAATGGCGAAAGATCGAGCAACAAACCGAGAAAGAAATAGAAATGGTGCCACAAAATCGCTGCAAATAAATATTATTTCATGACGCCGCCGCTTTGCCCCTCCCCACCGTGGTTTGATGACCTGAAGATGCTGCAATACCTCGAGAACACGGAACTCAGTGGAACATGGAACTCGTCAAGGCGGAAAAAAAGGGTTGAAATTACGTGTGGTATAGTCTTCTCTACCGCCGACGGGGAGCAGCGATAGCCGAAGCAGGTCGGCTCATGGCGTCGTACGCAGGTGCGGATACTGTTGTCTCCAGCATAGTCTTTCGTCGCTTAAGGTCCAGGTTTCCCATGTCATCGCTTGGGGGCCGCACGATGTCGTCTTCGTCATCCCGCGACCTCTTCAGGCCCGAACCCGAACCATTCATCACCGGCGGCTGGGGGGCATAGCCGTTGGACATGGAGCTCGACATGTCCGCCGGCGGCGCATATACGTCGTTTCCTGGAGCCCCGTTGGTAGGTGCTCGGTCACTCGTCATCACATTGTACAGGTTGCTCGTCGACTGCTGCACGCGCTGTGGCGAGTTGTACCCGCCGTGATGCTGGTAGTAGGGCTGGGGCGGCGCAGCCGTTCGAGGCGTCGAGCGTCCCGAGCCAGCCGGCGGGTGGCTTTGGGAATTCGCCATCTCCGACGGCATGTTGGAGTCGTTGTTCATAGACGCCACGCCGCCTGCGGTGTTGTAGCTGTACGGAGCGCGGGCATGGTCGTAGGAAGCACTGTCGTGAGTGTACTCAGCTTCGTGCTCGCCCTCCTCCTCGCCGTGGCTCTGGTTCTGCTGTTCGCCAGGGCCAATGCCGTTAGGGCCCTTGTTGTCGGGCTGGTCATTGGAGGGGATGGACGCAGGCGGTCGGCTTGCAGGCGGGCCCATCTCACTCTTTGAGTACGACGCGGCTTGGCTGTACAGGCGGTCCGGGGGAGGGTTCGCCGAGTTCTGGTAGGGCGACTGTTGGGCCGAAGGTGCGTTGTACATCTGGCGCTGGCTGTCATAGCCCTGAGGAGCCGGAGGGTACGACTGCATGCTCTGAATGGAACCGGGAGGCGTTGCGGCCGGGGTGTTGGGCATCGAGCGCGCACTGCTGAGGCCACCATCCATGCCCTGAGATCCGTTCATGCCCTGGTTGGGCCAGTTGAAGCCCTCCGAGGTCGCCATGCTTCCCATGACGCTGGAAGCACTCGTGGGCGGCGTGGGAAAGGTCAGCGCCCGGTCAAGAGGAGGCCGGCTGCTGGCCGACTGCGACGGGAGCGACTGCTGAGGGCCAGGCAGAGCAAGAGGGTGGTGCTGTCCAATGGATGGAAGCCCAGGGGGGGGCGGGTTTCGCATGGGAACGCTCTCGCGCCGTTGTCGGTCAGCAGCGGTCATGACTTGGCTCGTCCTTCCGGGGTTGGCGCTGGGATGGTAGAGGAGGGCACCAATGTTGTGCACAAAGAGCGGATACAGCATCTCCGTGATCTTCTCCTTGTTGGCAAAGTCCAAGGCTCGCTCATACGGGATCCTGCGTGAGGCCAAAATATTCCGTGTTAGACGCCTTCGTTTGCTTGCGCTTCGTCCGCAAAAATATGAAGTGGGGGGATGCAACGTACCAGACGCCCTTCAGATGCATGGGGCCAATTTTGACGACATGGCGAACCTTTTCGCTCTTCAGAATGCCATCTCGACGGCCACGAGTCATTCCAGCAACGTTGAGCAGCTTTGTTCCGTTGATCATATGGTTGTCTACAACCAAGCAAGGTTAGTGAAAAATTGCTCAATTGGCAAAGCTGGGCAGGGCGTGTCCACTACTGTACCTTCTCGCCTGGCGACGCAGATACCTCGAGCCTCGACCTGGAAGCAGAGGCTGCCTTCGTCCTCCCACAGCGTGGCAGTAACACGAGGCTTCATGCCCGGGGGAGGCTGCTGCCCCGTGGTGTCGAACCCAACGTACTGGGCCTGGCCAGCCACGCCGGGGATGGAGGGCAGAACCGTCGAGGGGTTTCCCATGGTATTTGATACCGACGGAGGGGCGGCCGGGGGGGACGTCAGGCCATTGGCGTAGCCATACTGGCTGTAGGGGGCCGGGTTGGAGTACGAAGGTCCAGGGGGCAGGAGTTGAGACTGGTGTTGCGAGTAATGCGCCAGACCGCCAGAAGTAACGGTCTGAGGAGGGGGCGGCTGCCCAGCTGACATGTGCTGTGTGTAGTAC